CAACTCAATTAGAATAACTTTGCACAAAGAACTAATATTTAGGCCTTATGACAATTGCACAAAGATTGGAGACACGCTTGGAGACATAATTATATGACCAATGTCAATGGTATAATTTCCCTAAGTACGAAATCGTATAATTTGCTAAAGTTAGTTGAATATTAGTTAGTTATGTTCTGATGAATATTTACATGGCATATGCAGGTAAAACCAGCTACTGAACATTGACCAACATTTCTAACACGACATTTGATTGGCATCTCCAAAGGCGTACGTGCTGAAGGGATGCTATAGTATTAATCTCACTGCTAGATTGTTTGAGTTTATTTAAATTTATGATGAAATTGAACACTAGTTGGTACATTTTTTAAAGAATGATTCGCACATTGATTCCATGCGATTTTAGACAAGCGATTTGGATGATTTATAATTATGTTTCATTAATTCATCTTATATGTTCCTTTATTTTTTTGTTTGCTTGGCGGCTATTCAATAGTAAATTTTTCTTTACTATTTAAATTAGTTTATAAAAAAATAATTATTTATGTATTTTATATTATGATGACAAAATAATAAATAAATATACAATTGACTATTATCAATAAAAATAATATGTAAAATCATAATGAAAAAAAGAAAAAAAAAAAAGCAAAACCAACGAGGTGGTTAAAAATTCTAAAAATAGTTACGATTGTCAGAATACATATGTTTTTGAGGCAGTACATAGTGTCATAACTTATTTAATAGTGCCTTAACTCATTTTAGAAATGATAACATGTAAAGTAGCATTAGGTGGTCTTTTACCACATTGTTTTGTGTCTTTAAAGATTACTTTACATGACAATTAAATGACTTTAAATGGTACATAATACTACAATGTCAAATGTCCCTATAGTTTATCTTTGATGGCACTTCACCTATTATTACACTGAATTTAAAGACACTTGTTGCAAGTGCCATAATAGATTTAAGTGTATTATTAAGTAGTGTATTGAGGCATTCTTTTGTGTCTCTATGAGCTCTTTTTCTAGTAGTGAATGTCAACATCACCCCAAAAATCAAGCACCATCTCTGGCGTGCGATGACAGACTCACTTGCTACTTAGCAAAATTTGCTAGCCAAGAAAATTCAAACTCATGAAATACTAGAAAAAGGTCCCATTGAGGCACTAACAAATGCCCTATATCATAGTCTAATGCTACATTTAATGTTTTCACCACACTATAAAAAAGTGCCTTTAATTTCAATGTGATTATAGGTCTACATCTATTAACACACTAAAAATGTCCTCATAAGATATATATTATGGGACTTTGAAATGCATTCATAACATGTTTTTAATGACATCTATAAGTGCCACTTAAGTAGATCTATGAAGGCATTATAATTATCTGGTTAAGTCTTTTGGGTGGTCCATTCAGGTTTAATACACCAGGTTCATCTAATTGAACCGAATTAACTTTTATTTATTTAATTATTTATTTATTAGGTTCCAAGCAAGTTCAAAATTTAAAATATGCAACAATTTAATAACTTGAACTAAAACAAAACAACTGCACTGGGAAAAAATTGTATTCATTTTTAAAACATTTCATTCTAGGACATAAATTCAACAAATAAAATACACATAAGACTTGTTTATAAAAAAAATGCATATAAGACTTATATGAATAACCTGCTTGATCTCAAATTCCTCTAATCTAAGTATTTCATGGTCAAAGTTGTACTTGATTGCGTGTTGTTCTTGCCCTCTTGATTACCATACATGTATCTTCTGCTCTAACCCATCCAGCTTATGATAAATGTTGGAGAGAAGAACTATAAGTCAAAACCATTCATGTAAACAGAACACATAACCACTTCGTGTACAACTTTCAACATGTTTATGTCCTTGCTATCCCATAGATTGCACATGATTGACTGCCCAAGAAGTCATGCCCCTAAAACGAATCAAGAAGAACTTAGAAAAAGAAATCCATGTCTATACAGTAGATTACTAGCATTGTGTTCAAGTAATGATATGGAAATGCGTAACAGGTAATTAGATATTCTGAATATTCGCCAGTTTCGATCAACTTTCCTACCTTTGATTTCTCATTTATTTTTCAATTAAAGGTTTAACATCTTCAAAATTCCTCAGCTCCTTGTTTTGAAAAGTAAGAAAAGAAATTAATAAGAATCCTTAATACACTGCAAAAGACAAACCAAATGTATCATCTGTTGTATTCAATAATATGCAAAATAAAAAAGGCGATTAAGATGTCCTAGAAAACAATACGAGTGTCAGAGGCAATATAGGCCTGCGAGATGTCAAACCACAGTGCACTCAAGTCAGAATTACAAACAATCATGCAACTTGGAAAATTGCAAAATATTTATGGAGAAGATTTTCTGAACCAGATATTGCATCTCTCGTCTTATAATCTCTTTGCTTTCATTACAACTTTGTTTTATTGTTTCACTGACCATATATAATGCAAATTCTAGCACAAAAGCAAATGGGTTATCAAAATCAAAGGCACCATTTTATTTATGAATTGCATTTGGGCTTGCGCATTAGGTATAAAACAAAACTACTTCACTATCGAATAAAGTTCTATTTTGCAGGACTATTGCAAACAACATGGCCATTAAAACTATAACTAATTATTCAACAACAAAGATCCAAACTGCATACGGACAATTTTTTCCTAGCATCATCACATATCATAATTGAAGAATCAAGTTTAAGCCTACAAGGTAAAAACTATCAAAAATTGAGAAAGTTCTACAATTTTGTTATTATTCAAATTCCTTAAAACATTAAAATCTCACCATAGTGCACGAACTTCCACCATGCTGAAAACCAAGAGGCCTTGGATATGAATTTGACAAAATTCGAATACAAATCGTCTTCTTTGAGTCCCCAAATTTCTATCACCAAATATGACTGTCTGATGTGTTGTTATGTTGCTTTGGAAATCTTCTCCTTAAAGGCTTTAACCACCACCCGTCGGATTAGTTTTATTCTAAGTTCATTCGGAAAAAGGGGATCCATAATTTTTTTTTTTTGAGCGAATTACGCTAAACACTAAAAAAAGAGTCATTGGTACACTGGTTTATTGGATAGGGAGAGAGAGAGAGAGTCAGACATGTTTTTTTTTTTTTAAAAAAAAAGATAAAACTAAAACGTAATAAGATTTTTAAAGCAAAAAAATTATTTACTAAAACAAACTGCCGCAATAGATAGGGATCTTTTTTAGTTTTGAAAAAGTCAAATGCCTTAATAATTTTCCTTCAAAAAATGCCTTCACAGTATGTATATCATGACACCTGTTGATAAATGCCTCTAAAAAAATAAAGTGAAGTGTGGTATAACACCCTTTTTCTAGTAGTGATGGCTGTTGCGCATCATGTGGAGACTCGAAAGATCTACGGCATGTTTTCTTAGACTGCAATTTTGCAAAAGCAGTTTAGCATTTGGCGGACCTTGATGCTCATATCTACGGAAAACGCCACACTGACATTCGATTACATCTGGCAAATATTCTTCTATCACTATCATCTCAAAATCAAAGTCTCTTTGCAGTAATCTGCTACAATCTTTGGTATGCAAGAAATACGTTGGTGTTTGAGAATAGCAACTCTTCGGTAGAAGCAGTCCTACGGTCGAGTATAAGTTCACTAGACTCTTGGAAAGAAGCTCAGCTTCATAATTTTATGTCCCCTCCCCTGCGTGAAAGACCATTAAACTCCCTAGAGTCCATGACAAGAACTTGTGTCCTCTTCGACGGTGCAATCAGTTCTAGCCTCAAGCTCTCCACAGTAGGCATATTAATCTGGAACTGTAACACAGGTTTTAGAGGCTGCTACGCAAAAACATTTGATGGTTTGTTCACCCCGCAAGTGATCAAAACCCTAGCAACCAGAGAAGCAGTAAGACTAGCTTGTGCAACAGATGTATCTCGTTTCACTCTTCTTGGAAATTCAACAACCATTATTCACCGTCTGAATTCTTAAGAACTGGATTTATCGGATTGTAGTCTCATCGTGGAGGACATAAAAGCATGCTTCAAAAATTATGTCGAGTTCGAAAGCAAGTGGATCAACCGCCGTTTTATTGTATTTGCTCATGGCTTAGCACAATTTGCGAAAATAATAGAGACTTTGACAAATTCTGGGATTCAATCCCTAACTTTGTACCTCTTTCCGTGTTGGACGGGTTCCTAGCAAGTTAATGAAATCCATATTTTTATCAAAAAAAGAAAGAAATATGTTCGTTTATGGAAATCATTGCAAGATAAAGAGTTTTGTCTCTCATGGTTGTATACTGTTTGTGTTTATCTTCTTTGTTGCAAAGATGATGAAGCTGTTATTGCTTGTCTAGAGATCCTTACATACATTTTTCAAGCCAATCTAAGGGAAAGAAACATGGCCAACTTGGGCGATGAAATTTTCTTTGCCCATTTGATTAGTATGCTTGGAGGTATTAGAAAGATCAAGTTGTCAATGTCACATCCATTCCGAGAAGTTCATGAAATGGCTAAAGAATTATACTGGAGACTTATTAGAAAGAACCGAAGATAGAAGTGGAGAACATTGCAGGTCTCTTGTGGCAATTGTGAAGAAAGATTTGCCTAGAACTTCATGTGGTTTAGGTGCTCATCATAATGGCGTTGGCGGTTAGGGAGGTGTTATGCGTCACATCGTGGTTGGGTTTGGGTTCATGCATTTTGTTGTAGTTGTAATTCCTCTATTTGTATTTTTGTGAATCGGAGATTTTAAAGTATGTACAATGGAAAAATATTCTAGTAAAAATATAATAGAAGAGCGAGAAAGTTTTTGTAAATATACTAGAGAAAAATAGACCACCATATATTCTAGATTAATACATAACTTTTAAGTAGATCATTTTGTGTTTATTCCATTTCCCTTTTAGTTGCGAACATTCCAGCAAATCAAAGTTTGAGGTTGAGGTTAAGATTGAATTGTGAATGTACTCTTCTATTATCAACTTGACGATGGGAAAAGGAGGATTCGGCAACTCAGCTACAGCTGCAGGTCGTCTTTTGCAAGACACAATGATGGCAAGAGTTAAGAAGGAATTTGATCGAGACTGTGTTGCGGGGCTAGTGGATAAGATTGCTCTAACGCGACCCACCCTCGAACGCGATTTCAGGAATGATAAGGGAGATGCACACGTGCGTGTCCATTCTAGTGATTTGAAGGATCTATAGGCCTTCCAACGTGCTAACTTGAAAGCGTGAGACAAATTGGAGAAGGATTTCATTAAAAAGACTAAGGCATGTAAGTTTTTTGATGTTGGATCAAATATGATAGTATTGCTTGCACTTTTTGAGAGTGGGGGATTTTCGGTTGGTTGCGCACTTCGGGCTGGTTCCATTCCGGAGCTAGGCAACCACTATATGAGAGTTTTCACCGGTGATTACATGGTGAAAGCTTCAATTCTCCAAACTGAACTTGAAGATAAAATTGGAGTTTTGAAGTCTTTGGTTAAGGAGGTTGGTGAACTTGAGAAGGAGATGTGTGGAATTGAGAACAGTGCTATGGGTGAAAAGGCTGCCACTGATGAACAAGTGGAGGAAGAGTAGTAGAAAGTCCAATATACTTTATGTTTAAAGACTTCTTTTTGAATTGTGTTATGTTTAAGATTTTGTTTGAAGTGGAACTTAATTTATGTGAATTATTTGGGCCAAAAAAAGGTAGATCATTTTTTATTTTCTAAATAAAACAATTAAATTGATCATGTCACGATCATAGAAGTAATAACAACTCATCTACGCAACAACAACAACACAATTAAATAATTCAAAGCTAAACCAATAAAGACTTGTGAAAAAATTAAGCAGATCATACCATGATCATTGACAAATGGTTGATGGAAAAAAAAAATCTCAACTGTACTCAAGTTTAAATCATGATGTGGAAGCCAAACGAATATTCCACAAACCGTAGATATTAATTATGCACTAAAATCTTTCAATTGCACTAAAGTTCTGATAAGTCAAAACTAAAACTGGTAAATGATTAATTAAGACGGAGAAATGAAATATGACGTGGAAAATTACTACATATGGTTTAATGGTCTTGCATATGACATCGGTACACCACGTGTCATTTAAGGAGACTTCTAACTTCGAATGGGTTGTCTTTTGACATAATGTTAGACATGATAAACACAAGGACTTTTGAGGGAAGAGGAAATGAGATACCAATCAAGATCAAAATTCTAATCATTGGTTTTAATCGAACACTCGACACCCTCTATCTTTATGATATATCAAGATAGAAGGATTTGAGCTATTCAGACTACATGACCACAGGAAATGTTTCAACTCAAATCCAACACAAGTTAATCAATGGGAGAAGAACTGACACGCCAACCGAAAATGCAACAACATTAGTTGACCATTTAATTTGTGAGGTTTCAAATCGCTAAAGTCATGGTGATGGATGTTGTAGTGTTTATTTGATCACGAGGGACCAGTGTAGAAAAGTGACTCCCAAAGTTCAATTCTGTGACTTGATTGCCAGAAAATATCCATATTTAAAATAAACGGGTTTGAGTAAGTTTTCAAGTGACTAGTTGATACGAATACTTTTAAAATTTTATTCTAATTAACTTCGATATTTTTCATAATTCTTATTTAAAAATGTACAAGGCTTATTCCATTTAATGTCATTATGGAACAACATTATATTGTCTTTATTGATTCTTTCAAATCGGAGACTCCTAACGTGATGATGCTTTCTGATGTGCTAATAGCAATGGGAGCATTCACTTGGATTTTTAGAATTTTCTTTTGATCTTGGCAAACCTACGATTAAACTCGAGGATGAGTTTTTTCTAAGACTGAAAGACAGTGTAGACATAGGATTAGAATTATAGTATTTTAATTGTGAGGATATATAGTATTGTTAGAATAGTAGATATTAGGGTTTATTTTATTATTTTTATATTAAAAGGCCATGGCCCCTCATTGTAAATCGGTTGTTAAATTATATGAAATTAAGATTTTCTCTCTTTCAAATTCTTGTGTAGAGTTTTAACCTACCTTCCAGTATTCAATAATTGAATTGCCGAATTGTAGATGCCTTAAGATTCGCGTATTCTTATATTAAAAAATTCTTAAAAAGGTTGTATTTTCGGGCATCTGCAAATCAATGATCTATGACGGTTACAATTCGTGTTTGGGTTTTTTGTTCGATTGATTTCAAACCAAGATTCAGGCTTCCACTATGTCACAGCCCATATATATATTGAGAGCATAACAAAAATTATATCTTCAATCTAAATAATTATCATGGAAAAGAAGATAAATCTAGCCAGTTAAAAATTTCATGGGTATGAATTTATTTGATAGAATGATGTGCAATAAAAAGAGTTTATCGGAGAATGTGTCTCACATTATTACTTGGGGGGACTTGTCTCGCCTTATGAGGAAGACTTTTTACTAAGAGAAAGTTGGAATATAGTTGTAGGATCTTAAATAGGCTAGTGATTTAGTGATGCACAATTATCATAACATCATGGAGTTGAAGGTTAAGTGCCAAGTGGAAAAGGATGAGGAAAAAATAGAGACCAAGTTTTTTAAGAATTAAGTATTCCTATCCGACATACAGTAAAGTTATCAGAATGGTATGATTATAAAAACTATGTTAGATAAGGTTGAGACAGTAGATAGATAGCAACGTTCTTTCATCTAGGTTGAGGAATTTTTCTATTGTTGGGGTAATACTTCCAAGAGATTGATGGTGTTTAACCCCAATTCTCCCATAACAAAAGTGCCCAATCCTATTTCTAAGCCAAATGAGAGTACTACTCCAGTGGAAAAATGTTATACTTCAACCTCAAATCTTTTGTAAGAATTAAGTGTTTCAGTGAAGTTCAAAGTAATAATATCAATAACGTTATGATTCCAACAAAAGAATATATGAAGAACATCAAAGTAAAGAATAAATTTGTGACACTTGTAAATTTTTTTTGTCTATCATCCAACTTTTCTTTTTTACTATCTAGAAATATTAGTAATATCTTAGAGGGAATTTACCTTCCTGGTGCTTTTTGTCTAATTTAAAAAGGTGGATAAAAACATGAAATTTATAGTTTCAAAATCTTCAACTAGTAAATTTTAGAAATAATAAATTAAGTGTAGATATGGATGGGTAACCTATGCATTTTCCTCTAAAACTTTTCTTCAAGTGTACCGCAATTAAGTCATAATTAAAGGACATTGACTAGTAAACTCAATAGTTATTTTCTTGTTTTAATTTCTTTCTTTGTTTACAAGTTTGTTAGTACTGTTGAATTAAGATCAAGAACCAAAAAAGACATGGTATTATATAAATTTTAAAAAAAGCAAAGACCAATGCTAGAAAACAAACTATTGAGAAATGAAGAGCATAAGTTAAAGTTTGACTACAAAAGCCTATGCTGCCAATATCCTACTATTACATTAAAAAGAAAAAAAAAAGCAAAAGTTAAAAAGCTCTGCAACCCCAAGTTATCACCAATAAGGTAAATTTGCAGCATAAAGAAATTTCAGTTTGACAAGCAAAGAAGAAAGGAAGTCCCCATCGAAAGGGTCATTTTCCTAGACCAATACAGAATTTTCTAGCTTAAACGATCATGTGATATAAGACTTATACCATGAAAAAGTATCATATAACATAGTCCATCTTCTACCATCAATCTGAAGATTCATCAAATGATCATACGGTCTAATTTTGTTGCAAGAACTTTTGTTCGTATTTTCCTCGGTTAAAGCTACAAAGATATTAACATGATCAACCTAGGTTACACCTCAAAACCATGTATGGATAGCAATCCCATAGATGAAGCAAATTTCGTTAATGCAATCATCAAACAAGAAAGTACGAAGATAATTTGTCTATCCCGTGAAACTCAAAAGAGTGCCGAAAATTCACAGTAAGACGATCGTTTATCAAAGGATTTCTATCTCTTAACTCAAACCAAGCAAAGAACACATTATCCATGGAAGATTCGAATTAAAAAACAACCCACACTAAGAATAATAAGGACACCATTCAATATACTCGATCAGTCATCATTCAAGAGACTCAAGAAAGGTAGGATCAAACAATGCTCAACTATGAAGAAATACTATTGATTAGTAATCTTCATAACCAACAAAGATATGCAATACATTCACTATCTCAAAATACTTATGCCAAAGCACAACTCATCCAACAAAAGTAGGACAAACCCCACAATGGAACTCGTGAACACACACATCATGAACTTGAAAACCAAGCCAAAAGAAAGGCTCATCAATCAAACTACTAAAAATAGTATGAAAATAAGAAGTTTAGTTTTAAAACAATTCTATCAAGAAGCATACTTGAAAAAGAACGGTTTCAGTAAGATCAAAAGATCCAAGACAAGATGAAAACCCTCTTGGTTAAATCATACTTGACACAAACAATGGACACACTATTTAACAAAAATTCCTCACAGGAAAAACTCTCATTAGAGAAGACTCAAAATGACCACTCAAGGGTGCTTTAGTTTTCGGCCATCCTCCCCTATTTATAGGTTAAGAATTTTGGCCAGCACCAAAAAAGAAGACCAACTAGGACTCTCTAATCTTATCTCACGCAGGAGTAGAAAGAGAAGAGTATTTGATCTCTTTGACTCTATCTAAAATCTAGGAAACCTTATCTAAATGACTTATCCTCAAATAGGATAATACTTAGAAGGAATCTAAGACTCCTAATCAAAACACTCTAGTTTAATTCAGTCCACATGACTTATTTAGCTAGATAAAATTCGAAAATAAACTCCTAGACTTAGACAAACTCTAAATCCGAAAATCAGCTCCCAAATATTGAAGTAAAATGTCTTGAACGCCCTTCTAAAAGTAGAATATTGGTCTTGTGCCCTTTAAATTGTAAATAACTCCAATTTACTCCAAAACTTGTAGAATTCTCTTTATTGACTCCAAAAGATTGGAAAAAACACTTGAAACAATTGAGATAGTTTGCAACCTATCCAATTGTGTAGCAATGGATGACAAGCCGTCGTCACACTAGTCAAATAATAATTACCGACTTAATACAATTACTAGTAGTAAAGTAGCAAGCAGGGTCGATCCCACAGAGAAGGAATACTAATTACCAGGTATAAATTACTCCTATTATTATCTAGATAAATGATGATCTCAGATTTATAAAATTTAAATCTAAACTAAATAAAAATAAAAACAAATAATATTAATTCAAATAATCAGATAAAGAAAACCTAGGACATTGGGTTCACCTACCGAATATTTGGTTGAGTTCAATTCATAAGTATTTGACTTTTAACTTCCATTAATCTTACAACGATTCACATAATTAAGAACTATACACTCTCGCGTTATAATTCTCTTACTTAGGTTAACCCTATGACTACTCTCGTGACTATAGGGATTAACAAAAGCACATTAAGACCATTAAGAACCAAATATTGCAAAGGTTATAATCTTACTCTCGTAGCTTACAACCTAAGTTTATTATTCCTACGAACTAATATTAATCTTCCACTCTCGCTACTTCGATTAATATTTTCAGACATGCAAATAGTGGCCAATTACTTACACGAATTAAAACAAGAACAACAAATATTAATTAATGGAAAAGTCAAATAATAATGAACCAAATAAACCAAATAAATTCGGTGGCTACACCCAAGCCCTAGATTAAAAGAATTTAGCCACTAAACATTATTAAAAATAATTCAATAATATTTAGAGACATAATAAAAATAAATAAATTAAATAATTAAACTTTAAAACCGAATGAAGCCAAAACCGCCAAAAACTCCCCTCGGTTGTTTACTTTGCTTCGCGGCTGCTGCTTCGGTGGATTGAAGATGAAAAGCTGCTGCTGCGCGAATGGTGGTGCGGCGGTCGATGGTGAAGAGGTCGGGAAGAGGAAGAAGGTGATGATGGTGAGCTCGGTGATGATGATGACGGCTGGTGCGTGGCTGCCGTCGGTGGTTTTGCTGCGTGAAGAAGGAGAAGAGGTAGTTGTAGCGGCCGGAAGCGAGGAGGTCGGGGACGGTGATCAAGTTGGGGCTGGGATGGTGTGGTGGTTATGGAAGCAAAGCGGTGGTGAAGAGGAAGGCGGAGAAGGAGGAGGGAGTTTGGTGGTGGTCGGCGGTGATGGAGGTTTTAACCGTAGGGTTCGGTGGTTTTCGGTCAAGTTTCGGTTCAGTTCTGTTGTAAAAATAAATCTCTAATCCCCCTTTTATAGGCTTCCGGCTAAACCCTACTCCTTGAAGAACAAGAAAACTTGTTTCCCAATTAATATCGGGATTAAAATTCTTATCCAATTCCAATCCGAAATCAGCCGTATAACCATAAGCTTCTCGGCCAATTTTCCAAAAACAAGAATTCTAAAATTGCATCATCGGCCCTCCAATTCTTTAAACTCATTAATTTCTTCCCCATCAATTTCTCCAATCTTCAATTCTTTTCCATTGAGTTGCTTTTAATTCGATTTTAGCTCAAAACTTCAACAATTCTTCATTTGAGTCCAATTCCTACAATTAAAGATAAAATCACATAAATAGCATATTTGTACTCAAAATATATTGTAAAAATCACAAATTAGGGATATAATATATAGGTAAAATATAAGCATATCAATGGACTCAATCTTGAACACTTTAATTAAATAGGCCGTCCATTCAAGAACCTAAATGACTATTCTCTCTAGCTTGATCAATGATCTTCATGGAGCACCTAGAGTCAAGAGTCAAACTCCTTTGATACTCTTGAGCACTTATTTTCATGAGTGAATCATCTCCTTTGGTTTGAACCCCAAAGTTAATGACATTCTCATCACCTTGATCATAGCTTTCTTGAATCAACTCCCTATCACATAGGTAGTCAAGATCCATCCTTTCTTCCTTGATTGGCCTGCAAAGTAAACTTGGCATTCCAAAACTAGAATGAACGATTAGCTCATTCCCCTCACTAGGAGAATCACCATGGAAGGTTACATGATTCTCATCATGTATCAAAACCATCACCAAGCTATGACTTTTTTACTTTCTCCAAAAATTAATTAAAACTTATTGGAAATGAAATTACGGCCCTTCATTGCATCTTGCCTACAATAATATGACAGGAAAATGACTCGAGCTGGTTTTGTACCATTTCTCGCTCATATTTTTTTGGTCACTAATTATAAACATGTAATTAAGGAACTAAGCAACCCAAGATTTGAAGCCCACGGTCAAAATTTCAAATCTCTTCTCGCGGGTTAAGATTCAACCTGAAAAGAAGGACCGATGGAAATCCCACCCAAACTGAAGCAATCGTGGCCCATTATTATGCACGCTTCCCAAACGACGGCTTGTATGATTGTGTCTCTCCCTTGAAAATAGGCGAACCGTCAAATCGTGGGGGGATTAACTTCCTTTTTAAAGACTGGGACAAACTAAACCCATTCACTTAACTTGTCTCCAAAAGTCTTAACCCCAAAAATTCTCACAACACTCCACTTTGTTATTATAGCCGGAATTTCTAACTTCGGTGATATCTCTGTCCACAAAACCACCGCTGTTGGAAGAAGTCAAATCGAGAACACACTCAAAGGACTTATTGAACCCCTGAGTTGCCCCTGCGTAGTCACCAGTGCCGTTGTATCGCCTACGTGACTCGCCAGAGATTATTGCTACACTGGGACGTTAAAATTCGAAAGGCGAGTGGTCTTTTCCTGATAGTAAGCTCTCCAATCCCTCTTTCTCAGTTTCATTTTCAGCTTTTCATTTTTTTGCAGTTGAACAAGTTTGTATAAATCTAGGCTGCTGTAAGTAGATAACCATGGCTAGGAATCCAAATCTGAAAACTGTAGACAATTTTGCTTCCACCATAGATTCCGAAGAGAAGGTGCAATCGGTAAGAACGAGATAGACATGGCACCAAATCATCAGATCTAGAAATCAGAGCCCTTTTAGGAATCGAGAGAGCTAATACTCCTCCAGAAGGAAAAATCACCATCTATGATCGCTTCATGTATTTAGGGTTGAGATTCCCCCTTGTTCCTTTGTTCGAGAAGATTGTGCGATATCATAAAATCCCTTTAGCTCGATTCACACGAAACCTCATAACCTACATTCTCGGTTTTGTGAAGAAGTGCCAACGAGCAAAGGTGAAACCGTGCTTGATGTTATGGAGGTATTTCTTTAGAGTGTCGACACTTTCCAATGCCTTTAAAGATTGGTATATGGTGAAAAGAAACCTAACGTCAGGTGCTCAAAAAATAGCAGAGGCCTATGGTGGTTCTCCCATATGGAAACCCAACTTCTTGTTCGTAAAAGCACCGGAAAAGTACTGCTTGGCCTGGAACTATCGAGAAACCAATGGTTTTGAGACAGTAAAAGATGAATGGACTAAGGAGGACAAGGAAAAGATCAAGGAATTTGCTGGTGACATAAAGAAGCGCGAGAAGTATCCCAAGATAATCAAGTAGATAACACCCTCGATACCCCTGTCGAGGAAGAAAAAGGTACTAATCTTTTTTATTATTCTTTGTTTTTAGGTCATGTCATCGAGAAACGCCAGTTCCAGATTATATGGTGCTTCCGACCCCTTTAATGTTGTGAACTCAGATGAAGACATGTCCACGGAGAAAACAATGGTGGAGAAGATGAGGAAAAAGAAGAAAAGAGGAGCAAAGGACTCCAAGAAAGGACCGAATGTTAAGAAGTCCAAGACTAATACTACTGCTGCAAAGCAAACTGAAGCATGGAAAGAGGGAGGGGCGACCATTCCACCTGTTGTCGAGGAGCCTAGGGTGCCACCAGTCATCGAGGAGGTGGCACACATCGAGAAGGAAATCGGGCCTAACACTCAGCCCCCGCCTATCAAGAAAAGCAAGGGCCTTTTCTAGGGAGGTGTAACCGTTCTGCCTGTTGAGTTGTTTGCAGGAGGTCCTTCAGCCGCAGTATACACCTTCAGTGCGCCGCCCACCATTGAGTGCCCGATATTGGAAGAGTTTGCTGCCAAAGACTGAGGCAGACAGATTAAGGCTGGTAAACACCTTAAACCACATTGATTCCTTTACCTTTTTAAGTTGGTATGGATGTGTACATATCCTCTTGTTGTCTATTCTCGCAGATGAGCACAGTTATGATGAACTGTGTGAAGAGGTCCAGGGACCTAAGGTAGGAGCTAGCTGAAGCCCGCGCCAAGAGAGATCGAGTGCTGATCGAGAAGATAGCACTGGAAGAGAAGAATTTGCAGCTCCAGTCCAAGGAGATAGAATTGACCTCGGTACAGGCCCAACTTGGAGAATTGCAAAAGAAACTCCAAGAATTGTGACCTACTCATTTCCAAGGAAGATCTTAACAAATGGTGTGCTTCATTCTGGTGGAGATTGTTATCCTCAGGCGGGATGGCCACTGCTGTACAGGAGATTAACACCGCCTCGGTGGCATATGGGGGTCATTGAGTTGCTGTTGCAGGCCTAAAGAGACTCAATTCAAAAAGGTCTATTAAGGCTAAGTGGCTCAAGCAATTCCTGAGAGAGAACCCAAAGAAGACCATGCACGAAGCCTTTGCAAGCTGACCACTGATCATCTTCCTCTATGGGAGCCCTTGTGTGAGGCTTTTTCCAAGATGGGTGCCCGTGAGAACATCGCCTCCTTTCCCGGGGATACTGCTGATGGCTGATGAAGGGTCCCGGTGAGGAGTTGGAGGTGCCTGAAGTCTTTGATGAATATTTGGTATTGATCTCGAGGAAGATGATGATGATGCCTCAGAGGAGGGAGACACAGGCAATTCTAGATCAAGTTCCCTCGAACGCGGATGGTGCTGTTGGAGCTAACGAGAAGGAACCCCCTGTCGAGGGGACGTTTGAGAACCATCCAGAGAGTACTCCTCACCTTGAAACAGCTGTATGAATTTATCATTCTTGTAAATGAATATATTCTAAATTTGAGAATTCCTAATATGCTTTAAATTTTCCTATTTTTAATATCCTTTTATGCGAGATTTTGCTACTATTTTGAATACATTTCTGTTATTTATGTGATTTTATCTTTAATTGTAAGAATTGTACTCAAATGAAAAAATTGTTGAAATTTTGGGCTAAAATGAAGATAAAAACAACTCAAAGGGATAGAATTGAAGATTCAAGTATTTGATGAGGAAGAAATCAGATGGTTTAGAGAATTGGAGGGCCGATAACGCAATTTTTGAGCACTTGTTTGGGTTTGGCTGAGAGCTTATGCGGTTGTGTTTGGGATTGAATTTGGTGAGAATTTTAATCCAAATATTATTTGGGAAACAAGAATTCTTCCTCTCCAAGTAGTAGGATTTCACGAAAGCTAATAAAAGGAGAATTAGGATTTTATTTTTACAACCGAACTTGACCGGAAAAAAACCCTACGTCTTTCACCTTCACCGAATCCCCGCCGACCTCCACCTTCTTGCTGCTGCAATTCTTCTCTGCCGATTCACCACCTTGCCTCCTTCCTCACCACTTCAAACCGGCAGCCCCCTCCCTCTCTGCAAAAAAAACCCCCACACAGCATCACCTCACCTTAATCATCATCATCCCCCATCACCGCGGCTCCACCTACCTTTGCTCACCACCGAACCAAAAATCCCAGCCCCCCAACTCCACCTACCTTGCTACTCCTCCATTCCCACGCAGTAGCAGCCATCACCACCTTGCTTCCCTCTTCATCATCCACGAATTCCATCACCACCAGACCTTGAGCTTAAAGCCGTCGCCGGGGAGGAGAGAGTGGAAGCAGGCAGCAGCCGCAAGGGCTTAAAGCCGTAGCCGAGGAGGAGAAAAACCCGTGCAAATTCGAAGCTAGCAAAACCGGGGAGCTCTTCGGCGGTTCTTGCCTTCATCTGGGTGTTTTGTTTTAATTATTTAATTTAGATTTTTTGGATTATGTCTCTAAATATTATTGAATTATTTTTGATAATGTTTAGTGGCTCAATTCTTTTAACCTAGGGCTTGGATGTAGCCACTGGATTTATTTGGTTCATTATTATTTGATTTTTCCATTGATCAATATTTAATATTCTTACTTTTATTCTATGTTTGTAACTGGCCACTACTTGCATGTTTAAAGATATTAATTGATGGAACGACAGTTGAAAATTAATATTAGTTCATGGGGATATTGGACTTAGGGGGTGAACCACGACAGTAGGAACACAACCTTTGCAACGTTTGATTCTTAATGGTCTTAATGTGCTTTTGTTAATCCTATAGTCACGAGAGTAGTCATATGGTTAATCTAAGTAAGAGAATTATAACACGAGAGTGTATAGTTCTTAATTAGGTGAGTCGTGTGAGATTAATGGATGTTAAAAGTCAGATATTTGTGAATTGAACTAAACCAAATATTCGGTAGGTGAACCCAATGTCCTAGGTTTTCTTTGTCTGATTATTTGAATTAATATTATTTGCTTTTATTTTATTTATTTACTTTAGTTTTAAATTTTATAAATCTGAGATCATCATTTATCTAGATAATAATAGGAGTAATTTATATATGGTAATTAGTAATCCTTCTCTGTGAGTACGACACTATTTTCTGCTATACTAGTGTTAAGTAGGTAAATTTATTTGACTAGTTGTGACGACGGCTTGTCAAATTTGGCGCCGTTGCCGGGGAAGGCAGCTAATATCGAATTTAGATTACTTTCTTTTATTAGTTTAGATTTTAATTTTATTTTACTCTCTTTCAAATATTTTTGTCTTGTTTTTATATGCGAAGTGCTAATTCTGAGGCTTTGCAATTTGATCCAGAAATCGAGAGAACAGCTCGTGCAAATAGAAAAAAAGCAAGGCTAAGAAAGGAGAAGAATTAGAGTGAAACCATGGGATAGAATTCGGACACTGAGGGATTACTTCACACCTACGGAAAATGTTGCTAGGTCAAGTATTACTAGGCCTACCATTGCTGTGAATACCTTTGAGCTCAAGCCAGCATTGATCCAGATGGTGCAGCAGAATCAATTCACCGGTTTTAACAATCAGGATCCAAATGCGCATATTGACAACTTTTTAGAGATCTGTGATACTGTTAAGATAAATGGTGTGATGTCAGATGCAATCCGGCTGAACTTTTCCCTTTTTCGCTGAGGGGAGAAGCAAAGAATTGGTTGAATACTTGCGATCCTGGTTCCATCACAACTTGGGATGAGCTTTACAAGGAATTCCTTATCAATTTCTTCCCACCAGATAAGGCAACAAAATTGAGAAATCAAATTACTGGGTGACAAGTCGTCGTCACAACTACTCAAATAAATTCACCTACTTAACACTAGTATAGCGAAAAATAGGGTCGTACCCACAGAGAAGAAATACTAATTACCATGTATAAATTACTCCTATTATTATCTAGATAAATGACAATTTCAGATTTTGAATTAAAATAAAACTAAATCTAAAAATCTAAAATTGCAACTACTTTCAATGGTTGAAACAATCAAGTTGGGAAAACCTAGAACATTGGGTTCACCTATCGAATATTTGGTTTAGTTCAATTCACAAATTTTTTACTTTAACTTCCATGAATCTCACAATGACCCACCTAATCAAGAACTATACACTCTCGTGTTATAATTCTCTTACTTAGATTAACCTTATGACTACTCTCGTGACTATAAGGATTAAATAAAAGTACATTAAGACCATTAAGAATCAAACATTGCAAAGGTTATAATCTTACTCTCGTAGCTTACACCCTAAGTCTGTTATTCCTACGAACTAATACTAATCTTCCACTCTCGCTACTTCGATTAGTATATTTAGACATGTAAATAGTGGCCAATTACTTACACGGGTTAAAACAAGAATAACAGATATTAATTAATGAAAAAGTCAAATAATAATGAACCAAATAAACCAAATAAATCCGGCGGCTACATCCAAGCCTAGGTTAAAGGAATTTAGCCACTAAACATTATCAAAAACAAAGTGAAATTAATAATGCTCATTGTCTAAAGATTCTGAAAATAAAATAAAACTGAAATATGAAACCCGAAAAGCTTTGCCGAAGTGACCAAAAGCTGAGAATCAAGTCAAAGTTGCTGCTTCTTCTTCTCAGTTGCGGCGACCGTGAGGGGATGGAAGCAAGCTGGTGATGGTGCAGTAGCAAGGTGGAAGCAGGCTGGGGATGTTAATGGTGGTGTGCGTGGAAGTGGACTTGGCCTGCTGCTTGCTTGCAAACTGAAGATGATGATGGTGCACGAGAATAGCTGGGAAGGAGGTGCTTCGGTTGGCTGGTTTACTGCGGCAAGGAGGAGAATAGGAAGCAAGGTGGTGATGATGATGGTGTGCGTAAGGTTGCTGCGGCAAGGAGGACTTGGCTGCTGGCTGCTTCGGTTGGGGTTGCATGGCCAGGAAGATGGACTTGCGTGGTGATGGAATGATGATGATTAAGGTGGGGAAGAAGGTGGAGGTTGGCGGAGGTGTTGCAGTGCCAGGAAGGCGGAGCAGCAGGGGAGAATTTTGCAACCATGAGGGAGACATGAGTTTTTCGGTCAAATTTGTTGTAAAAATAAATCCCTAATCCTCCTTTTATAGCCTTTCGTCAAACCATACTTCTTGGAGAGGAAGAAAACTTGTTTCCCAAATAATATCGGGATTAAAATTCTTACCCAATTCCAACTCAAATCAGCCGCACAACCTTACCGCGCTTCGCGCCTGCGGCGTTTTCGCCAGATATCTCGGCCAATTTCCATAGTCAAGAATTCCAAAATTACTTGTTTAATCCTCCAATTTTCAAGTATTTTAATTTCTTCCTTGTTAATTTATCAAATCTTCAATTCTCCCTTTGAGTTACTTTTATCTTCATTTTAGCCCAAAATTTAAACAATTCCTCCAATTGAGTACAATTCCTACAATTAAAGAAAAAATCACATTAATAGCAGAAATGTATTCAAAATTGTAGCAAAATCTCGCATAAATGGATATTAAAAATAGGTAAATTTAAAGCATATCAAATACCCCCAAACTTGAAATATTGCTTGTCCTCAAGCATTTCCAAAGATTAAAACAAAAAAAAAAGTTAATTATTTAATTTTGGCGGCCTCAGAGATTCAATATCATATTACACAAAGACCTCGACCACCTCTAGTATGTACTAGCTAACAAAATGCAAACCATATACACTTTTAGCCCCCACGCTTGTGTGTGTGTGCGATCTGTTTCCCAGGGACATCATGATGCTTGCAGAGTTCACCAAAAATATTACTAGCTTGGATTATGGTTTTTGTAGATAATGGAAGCTAGGTCCATCCCACGAGGATAGCTAATTACAAAATTTGTTGTAAAGAAAGACTACCAGTCAGACAAGGTGTCACTCAGGGGAATGGAAACAGTCACTCAGGGGAATAAAAGCCAGGGGTGTCTTCTCCTCTTCCTACTGTTGTAGTTGTTTTATGAGCACTGTAATGGTTACGTTCTTGTTCATTCAGCTCACTTATAACTCTAAGTCAGTTCCCATTTTTCCTAGAGTCATCTTTGCAACCTTAACAATCTATTTTCCAATGATTGATTCCAGTTACAAAGTCTTTAAGTTCTTAAGCCTTCAAGAATGCTTATGTCAACTAAGTATATTCCTATCTTAGTTAAAACCATAGACTGTTACCTATATGTCATAAGTTAAAGTTGAAACAATCCAAACCAAGTTTATCTTTCCAGATCTCCCTTAGTTCTAGCATGCATTCAATTTAGTGATCAAGTAAATGAATGTAGAAAAACTTTCAACCATAAAACAAGGAACAAAACCAATGTCTTAACAACTACAACATCAGTCGAGGAGAATAACCCCTGGGAACTGTTTAGCTACTCATACGGATTAATGCTACCTCTACTACATCAAAAGACATCATAGAAGTATGCATAGTAAACAAAGTTCAAGCTAACAGTCAAGAGATGAGAAGAAAGCTTGTGCAGTTTCTGAGCCACTCCTGAGAGTGAAGGGGTTCACTCGTGGAACTGAAGAAGAAACTGGGTTGCTACTCTTCAACTTGGCTTCCTCACTGAGTTGTTGCTGCTTCTTCTTTCTTCTTGCCTTCTACCTGGAGTTTTTCTGGGTGTTTTTAGCAACTGAAAGGGTAACCAGAGATTGAGATGGATCCCCCATTTCAGAGTGCAGTTCCCTCTTTTATAGGGCCTTGCAACCGGAGTCTTCATCATGAGAGCCTCCCCATGCTTGGAGTTGTTTAATCCTCCCAATGTCTTGAGCCTGCAATCCAACTTGGTTGTTCCTTTTCTCTTCTTCCAGCAGTGGCTGTCTTGCTCTCATTGATCAGCAGTGGTGGCTGAGATTGCGGTTGGGGGACAAGCATGCCTCTAGGAGGAGGCAAAGTCATTAATGACAAGATGCTTCTTGTCTAAGGGCCTTCTTCTTCGTCCAGCTCAGCAACCTTGCCTCAGCAACCCATAAATTGTTCTCTTGGCCTCCAATTTTCAGCAATTATTCAATCCAGCCCTTACCTAACAACAACACGAAAACGAGTTAAGTAAATTGCACCAATGTTAGGAAATACCCCCAATTTCCTATCTAATGCAGAGTTAATTGTAATGCTTTTATGTAACAATTTAGCCATTATCAACTCCCCCAAACTGAAAGAATTGCTTGTCCTCAAGCAAAACAACTAAACTCTTGTAGGCACTTTTAGAATTGCACATAACAAACAGGGGAGACAACATTGTCAAAATGACTGAAGATTGACTTACTCCCCTGAGTGAGGATTCCCACTCAGGCAAGTGACACTAAACAAAGCAACAACCTTAAACACAACTAGATAGGTGCTGTCAACTTTTTGTCTTAGATTCAAGTGAAGAAAACATACATTTAAGGATACCAAATCTTTCTGCAATCCAGAGTCAAACAACCAACCTTCACAGGGAATTAGAATGCATATGCCACAAGTGTTCGTTCATGCGAAACCTACCAATCCATTCTAAGTTAACCGATTAAACTTTTGGTGGTCATTCTTGTGATCTGGTCTTGCCCAAGTTACTTGACTCAATTTACCTACTGAGACTCCAATCCTGGACTTCCTGCACAGCCTTTATGTTTTTTTTTTTTTGAAAGGGAATGTGGATGGAATGTAGATGGACCAACCTACAGGGGTGTTATTCAACCTTATCTCTCCACTGCCTTATACCTCAACCCTTATTACTGCAACAGTTGGGAACTTTTTGTGGTGGTTCCTTGCTGTTACCCCTAAGGTTTCAGTTGATCCATTCCCTAAAAATATATATATTTTTTTTCAAGCAGGCTGTGGATGGATACCACAAAGGAAGTCTCAGATTTACGGCATTTCTCATCTAATTGTAGCTCAGAACTAGACACAGCTCACAACAGTGGATTAGTCATGCCAAATTTTAAGATTTATGTTCTAGGCAGTCACTTCCACAAGTGGCATTATTCATGTGTGTGAGTGAGTGTCAGCCATTCTTCTTTCATGCATCAGACTCAGTATCAAAAAGTGGTTCAGCAAAATTATTTTTCAAAACCATTATCATCCTAGACTGTTGACAGCTCCTTAGAAGATTTTCATTTTTGAGAGATATTTTACAGAGTCAATCTAGACATAAACCCAATGGACCTAAATGACACTGTCCTGACATTGACCTAACTTCAACTAACTACTACTTTACTCCGCCAAACTTATTCTAAGCATTGCCCTCAATGCTTAATAACACCAACCCGGCAACATACATTAAACAGAAAACAAAGAAAAATACAGAAACAACACATTAAACATCAAACAGGAAACAAAGAAATTGCTGATTAAGGGAAGCAGAACAGCACTACCCTGAGTGTTCATTGAGGCATGCCATGGAGTGGGTGGACTGGTGGATCATGTGGCATTGGGTAGTTTTCAGGGCATCCAATGCACTTGTGCATTTCCTGCAGGAATTTCTCCGTCCTCATCTGGCATTGGTGGACGTAATCCAGGATGAACCTGGTCTGCTTGTTGAAATCCCTCTGCCTCAATTGTCCAGCTGGAGTCGGAGTGGATGTTGTTTGTCCTGCGGATGAGGCACCTGGGGGTTTCTGGTCCAACTTATGCATCCTTAATGGTTGCTGCAAGTTGCTCTCTGCATCTGTGTGCAGGAAGGTCACCCCTGCCCTTTTGCACAGCATGGTGACCATAACTGGGAAATACCAGCTCTTCACCTTTGGATCAGTGATGCATCGGGTGAGTTGCTCTCTGATGACTGAGGCTGCATCAAATGGTGTGTCCGTGACAATGGCATACAGCAGCAGAGCCATCTCATAGGTGACCTTAGCAGTGTAGGATGTTGGCATCAGATTGCAGCAAATGAAATGGTGCCACAGATTTAAGTCAGGCATCTGCAACGCGTTTGCTGGAATCCCAAAGGGTTTTCTTGATCATCAATCTCCCAGCTTGTGCCCTCTTTTGCCAATCTAGACAAAATGGCTTGTTCCAGTGGTTGATTTGGATGCAGGGCAGCCGGGTTTCTCTGTAATCGGTGCTGATTCTTGGTAACTTCCAGATGGCTCTAATAGCTTCTATGCTACAATTGACGCTGATGCCTCTGACGAACACTCCATCTCTTGGGGCAGTGTGGAAGTTGCCATAAAATTCTTGCACAATCTGGATCCTTGGCTTGATAGGTGGGTTGGAGAAGGTCTCCCAGCCATGGCGCCTTGATGTAGGCAAAAGCTGCGCCGTCTTCACTGATTCCCCTTTCTGTAATGAATTTTCGCCTTATGTGCTTCAAAAAGAAATCCCAACCCTTCTTCCTTGGAAACAACCTGGGCTCCCATTCATCTGTGATGGCATTGAGGGCTTGTTCTTGCAACGCCCTTGGTGGTTGTGGAGGTGGTGGTGGGGTAGGTTCTCTGGCAGGGGACGATGGTGGAGTGGGCATTCTTTGCCGTTCAGGGGAGGGCGATGATGAGGAGGATGATATCCTTCTTCTTGTGTTGGAGGCGTTTTTGCGGGCAGCAGCCTTCCTCCTTGCCGGCGGCATCTTTTACAAACCCTAAGAGTTGAGTTGGAAAATTGAAAGAGGGGTTTTGTGATTGAATCTGAAAATTGCCTTAGTTACCTGAAAACTCAGAGAAATTGTCAGTATGTTCACACAGGGAAGTGGTGTTTGAAGAAGTAATTCTGGAAATAAGAAGAAAATGAAGAAGACGAAGCAATGGAGGAGTTGTGAGTTAATGCACAACAGTTAAAGTTTTTGGAAATCGTGGCTGACCCAAGTGACTCAAAAAGGCGGACGTGGTTAAAATTGAAATTTGAAAATTTCCGGAAAAATTTCCCCCTCAAACTTAAACCATAATTACAGCTCAAAAAGGTGACTTTTTGCAGAAAGTGTCGTACAGTTGTTCTTACTCAGGCGAGTGGATTGTTCCACTTGCGTGAGTGACG